GTCTTGAGGTGGAAGCTAATAAACGCAACAGAACTGTACTTGCATTGTCTCTTGGAGTTCTTTGGGACTTGCAAGATTCTCTTATTGTAACCTTACAATAAAGGTAGCATTAGTACCCATGATTGGTGCTTCTTGTCTGGACTACCTTGAAGGGCTGGCAGAGCATCACCCCACTGATTCAGACAGATGGGGCTTCCCAGTCCCTTCGACCTCTTCAACCCCCGTTGGCATTTTAAGTCGCGTTTTTAACCATTCCGTTCTTCCCCGCCAGCTCAGCGGAGCCTCTCTACCCGAATGGGGGTACCGTCAACTGGAGGTCATTGGCGAAAAGATTTCCAAGGGCTATCACCAAAGCATGTTGTGGAACGTGGAAGAGCACCGATACGGGAAAAGTCAGTTTTAAGAAAGCCTCTTTGGACATTCCTCCAGGGTTTTTCCTCATGTGGTTTTTAAAGGGAGTTAAATTCTGGGTGAGGAGCAGAGACCAGCTTCTTCTTGGCCACGTTCATCCTTTGCTTTGGAAAAGATTCCACATTGTCTCCTTAGCTTGGGTTAGCAGCAGTGGTAAGAAATAGCTCCAGATTGGGACAGGCTGTTGTGGCCCAATTTATTTACCTAATTTGATTAGAAATCTGGTTTTTTGGAGTGGGAGGCCGAAAATATCAGTCCTCAGCCTTTTCCGTAGCTCCTGTCCTGTCTTCTTGTATCTTACATTGCTTCGGATAGTTCAGTCTGAAGTCCTGTTTTTGAGTTTGGGAAAGCCAGGATGTGTTAGGCAGAAAATCCTAACCCTAAAAACAATGGCAGCGGTTATGGGAGGGATGGGGAATCACCTTCATGGGAGGTGGTCAAGCAGCAAGATTTGAATTTTGTACTTTGATTGGCCACCCGCACTCTCCAACTGGTGTTTTTTAGGTGCTGGGCTGCAAGCTTCAACAAGGTGTCTTTCTCCAGATGTGCTGGACCCCCTTAGCTAGGCTTAGGGAAGGAAGATCAAAGGGTAGCATTTGGCAACATCTGGAGGGTTGCGAGGGCTGTCTTCCTTTTGAGGAGGGACTCAGAAGTCCCACTCGAGACTTTATGGGGAGGGTTGATAGCGCAGAAAATACTGTCTTCTGTGAGCAGTGGTCTACACCATAAGCCCCAAAGCATTATGGGAGAAATGTTGGCCTCAACTGACCTGGTTTCTCAGATCTCTTTGTTTCAATGTTTTCCAGGCCATGAACAAAAAGAGAGGGAGGTGGAATTGCATCTGCCCACTCAGATCAACATCAGCCAGAATCTCACCTTCCTTGCCAAGTTCACCGAACTGCAGGTGAAAGAAAGGGTCAGAATGGTGACCCATCAATTCAAAGCCCTCTCGTAGGGTGGACTTCAACTCCCAGAATTCTTAGCAGTGCCCATCTTGGTCCAGGGGATTCTGGGAATTGAGACTGATTTATTTATTTTGGCCACTCCTCTCAACAAATGGGTGGGGAACAGCATTTAAAAGAACAGTTGAAATAGTGCGTGTTACCTGTTTGGACACGGGACGTCACGTGAACGTAACCCTAAACAAGCCAGACGGTTAAGCGTGTTGCGTACATCCCCCACCGGTACGAGAGCTTGCAGCGATAGTCTACAAGAGACATTTGGGGTTATGGGCTGCATCACTCAGTTTAGTAGCTTGTGTTGATACCCAGGAACGGACCTGAAACCCGACTCTCTCGTTTCGTTCTAGTGGAAGATACTCACTCTGAAAAACGAGGACACGGAACATAAATACAGTTCGTCCCCTTTGGATTGGATCACCATGGACACCAACATTGCTTACTGGTTCCATTCCAGCTCAGGGGTGATTTTACTGGATTTTTATGCGGGCTTCGAACCACGTTTTCTGGGATGGCGTAGACGCCGCTTCCCTGGTGACCTTTCAGTACAAAGGCTGCCATTTTGATAACTCTCGGAGGGTAACCGAATGAGGAAGGGCTTGTGCGAGACACAGTTCAAAGCATCTCCTTGATTTTTCTTGGCCAGGCTCAGATTCATCTCTTGGGCAATGTCGTCAGCTGGACGTCGGCCAACGTGGCCACGGTCGTCTACGTGGTTTTGTTCCTGGGGTACCTCCTGCGGCGACAGCGGAACATCCGGGATATCCCTGAAGGTCTGGACTTTTAAGGGTCACACCTCCCACCCCATCCCAGTCTTTCACCCAAGACCTCTTAACTAGGTTAGCGGAGACCAGTCGTAGGGCTGAAGCCTTAGCTGTCTCCTGCTCCTGTTGGGATTTTGCTTCACTCAAGGAGATCTCCAGTTCAGCATTTTGCTGATTTCTCAAGACTTTGGGGAGCATTCTGCTCCTCCCTTGCTAGTGCGGCAGCCCCCTCGGGCCTGTAGGTGGGCATTCACCGTGCCCATCCTGGAGGTGGTAAAGTGCCTCCAGGCACGCAGCAGGCTTCTTGTTCTCCTGGGTGCTCGTTCTGGCATGTCCCAGCCTGAGAAATGACATGTCTGTTTCCCCACCCCATCCTGTTTCTCGGCAGAGATGTGGCAGCAGTGGGTCCTGGCCGGAGTGATTTGCGTGGGTGGATGGGCTGTGAACTATCTCCCTTTCTTCCTGATGGAGAAGACGCTTTTCCTTTATCATTATCTGCCGGCTATTACTTTTCAAATCCTCCTGATCCCCATCATCCTGCAGCACACGAGCGACTTCCTCTGCAGGTAGGAGAGCCAGAATGGAGTCATCTGCCTTTGTTCTGCCATAGACGGTTGACCTTGGTTGTGTTGAACAAACCCTCTGCAGAAATGCTGGAGCTGCATTTTTGACCGCTAGTTAACCCTAAATCTTCGTTAATCCAAATTTGAGGAGCGAAAACCCAGTCTTCTCCTGAATTAAAGCATTCTCACTTTCTAGAAAGATTTGCCCTCTGAGTTTCTCCTCATTGAGAGAGGCTGTTTTTCTGGAGGGGTCTGCCCAGTGTTCTCTGTATGAGTCTCTGTAATGGGATGTGGGAAAGATCTTGGGAGACTGGACAAAGAGGCACAGCCAAGGGAAGGGTCACGTAAGAGACAACAGAACCCGCAGCTGGGCTTAGCGTGTTTTACTCTTTCTCTCTTCTCCACGACAGGTCCAAACTTTCCAAGAGCATGCACAGTGCTCTAGTCGCAGCCTGGCTGTCTTCCGTCTACCTTACATACCACACGTTCCGTCCGCTCACCTATGGTGAGCCGGCACTCCCCAAAGGCGAGTTGCAGGCCCTGCGCTGGAAGGACAGCTGGGACATTTTGATCCGCAAACGCTGACCAAGGCCAAGAAATGGATGGGCAAGTCTGCGTTGGAAGGAAGAGCGAGAAAAGGAAGGTGGAGGAAAGAATTCATCTCAATTATAAATTCCTTCCACTTTGGACCAGTTCTGACGTTCCCTGAAACAGTATTATTGAATTGGAAATGGAGGATTTGTGGGTTGTTTGGACATCTTTTCCTGCTTCTCCCGCAGAGGAAAAATCCCTGAGCAAAGTGAGAGCTGTTTGGACGAGCGAAAGGAACGTAGGCACACTTTTGCTCATTGGGGGCAGACAAGCGGGGAGAATCCACCCCCTGCTCTTGAGCATGGAAAGAATGCACAGGTCTTGCTAGCCAGAGACCACCTCAACGTGGATGGGACTCATTGCGGCCATAAACGTTTGGGAACATTGAAGTTTTGCAGAGCCACCTCTGGGGTTAATGTGAAAGGGGAGGAGGGAGAAACAAATCCAAATGTGAAACTCGTACTTACGTCAGGACATAAAAAGGAACGGGGCTTCCATCTCTTGGTATGTGTACCATTACGAAGCCAGGGAGCATTGCTGTGGGCCCCCCCAGAGGTCTCAACAGTGGGTGGCCAACATGCTGTGGGAGATCAGGAAGACTTGCGAGGGTTTACAGACACGAACTTCAGGTCTGGTAAAAGCTGTCCACCGTCAAGTTCCTTTTGCAGAAGCTTAAGTCTTTCTCTGTGACCTTACGAAGGACCCCAAAGGTCTGCCAAACCCAAATTACATGAAGGAGTAAGCAGGGCTGGTTTTTCCACCTTCTCCCATCTATGCCACTGCCTAATTCAACCTTTTACCTGGCACCCTTCAAAGCAGTGGATGCTTCCCCACAAAGCATGCACAGATTTGGACTATCTCGCCCTCCCCATGTATGTCAGAAAGCATCCATTTATTTTGCACTAGCAACCACGATGGCCAGAGAGCCTGTCTGTTCAAAGCAAGCGTAGCATTTGAAGGCTGCAAACATCCAGATCGCCACTAGATGGCAGCAGAACCACGCAGAAAACCATTTTGTTGTCCCCTAGTGGCCATTCGAAGCATGGCAGAGCAGGTATGATCACTCCTAGTTTAGAAAATGGAGCTAGACAGCTTAGAAAAATATGTAAGTTAATAAAAATCAAGTGATTTAGATGTCCTGCTTGCAGCTGGGCACTTTGGCAGAAAAGTCTGCCTAAAATGTAAGTTTATAATTTGACAAATGCTGTGAATTCCTATTGAATGAAGGTGCTGTATTTATTCTTTTGATGATGGATTTGTTTTTTAAAAAATAGAAAACAGAATAGAAACAAAGGCACGGGTCATTTTGAGTCTCTTTAATTCTTTAACAAAGTCAAACAAATGGAAGTAGTTTTGGGGATTAAACTTTTAAAATTCCACCCAGATTTATTGTAAAGTGAAGCTGGGGGAGGAACAAAAAAATAAAGATTACATTAGCTTTCCAAAGCCATATTCTCTAATTTTAGAAAGATTTGAATGGATAAGTGGGTCTGGACACTGAGGTTGGTAAGGAAGAAGACATGAACGTGGGCAAATTTCTAAGCGTGTTCGTATGAAGGCAGTGGGAAAAAGGTTATTTCAGGACAATTGCCTGCAAGCTGATTTGCACATAGTGCTTCCTGCTTTCTACGCATTATAGCGCTTTATAACAAAGATCTATGGGGAGATTGATTTCTCCCACAGAAGGAAGACAGCTCCCGACCCCACAGGGAAGATCTTAGACTGGGAAAATAGTTTGCTGGAAGAGAGAAGGATACTCAGCAATTCTTTTAATAATTCCCCGTTGAAAGAAGGGAGCTGAACCTACCATACCCAATTCCAGAAGTGAAGGAATTGTCTGGAGCATCTAATATTTTTTTCAGGGACTGCAAAACAGCCAAGGAGATGGGTCTACGTAGAACACTGTTAATTTTAAGCAAAGAGGTGTTGAGGGGAGGGGAGGGGAGGGGAGGGAAGAGATAACATGCAGTGGGAAGGAAGGAAGGAAGGAAGGAAGGAAGGAAGGAAGGAAGGAAGGAAGGAAGGAA